AAAACAATTTAAAGAGCAATGTGAATGGACAGATGTTGGAATAGACAATTATTTTTAAAAGTTGGTACTAAGAAAATTAGACTTGGCAGTTTATCAAATGTGAACAGGAGAGGATGGATGAACGCAAGTCAATAACCATTTTATTATTCTTAACTACTTCCACCTGGCAGGTGCCTGGATTCCTGCCACATTTACTTGCAAAATATGTTTGCTTTATATCCCCTGTTTCCTTTGCTATCTGCTTTGAATGTACAACACCCTTCAGTCTTATGTTTGCTTTTCTTTTCTCTGCATTATAACCTCTTCTAAAAATCAACCACAAATATAAGACCATTTAGGAAAATGCAAATCTGTATGGAGTTAAAAAGCTATCTTTTGTTCTCAAGAAACAACTGGGAAAAAGAAAGACAATGATCCACTTCCCACTTTGGCCACCATGTAAGATCATCTACAGGCATTATTCCAGAGACTCATATAGAAATCTCTAAAAAGATAAACTAGCCACAAAAATTTCTCGGACAACCATTCTAAGATGACACCTCCAGCGATGTGGGAGGGTAGTGGGCCAGCTCCCATCCTAACAAAGCCCTGGGAGCTGCTCCGACACCCAAAAGCCACCACCATGCCTCTTTAAACACCCAGTTAAATATTCTAGATTTTCTGGAGCGCACAGCCACAACATCTCCAAACTCTCTCTCTCTCTCTCTCTCTCTCTCTCTCTCTCTCTCTCTCTCTCTCTCTCTCGCACAGCATAATCTCATTTTTTAAAAAATTTTATTGAATCACCATGAGATAGTTACAAGCTTCCATGTTTGGCTTACAATCACACAATGATCAAACACCCATCCCTACACCAGTGCACATTCCCCACCACCAATATCCTCAGTAAAAACCCCCCTTTCCCACTCTCCCCCTGCCTCCATGGCAGACATGATTCTCCATAATCTCTCTCTACTTTTCTCTATTTATGGTTTGCAATACAGACCCTGAGAGGTTATCATGTGTGGTCCTTTATCTACTTTCTGCACACGTCTCCCATCCCGACTGATTCCTCCAGTCATCTTTTTCTTAGTGATCCCTTCTCTATTCCAGCTGCCTTCTCCCCTTGGCTCATGACGCAGGCTTCCAGCTATGGAGCAATCTATCTATCCATGTACCTACTATCCTTAGGTGTTAGCCTCATGTTATGTTGTTTTATACTCCGCAAATGAGTGCAGTCCCTCTCTAACTAATTTCACTTAGCATGATCTTCTCCATGTCTATCCATTTATAAGCAAATTTCATGACTTGATCTCTCCTAACAGCTGCATAGTATTTCATTGTGTAGATGTACCAAATTAACTAGTAATCTGTTCTAGGGAACTTGGGTTGTTTCCTGATTTGGCTATTGTGAACGGTGCTGCAATGAACATATAGGTACAGATGTCAGATGTCATTTCTAGTATGCTTTTTTGCATCCTCGGGATATATTCCCAGAAGTGGTATTGCAGGGTCATATGGAAGCTCAATTTCTAGGTTTTGAAGGACTGTCCATATTGTTTTTTAGAAAGGCTGGACTAGTAGGCATTCCCACCAACAGTGAAAGAGTGTCCCTTTTTTCCCACATCCATGCCGGCACTGGTTGCTTTTGTTCTTTTGAATGTGTGTCTCTGTGGTGTGAGATGATGTCTCATCGTTTTTTTGATTTGCATCTCCCTGATTGCTACCAATGTAGAGCATTTTTTTCATGTGCCTTTTGGCCATTTGTATTTCTTTTTTGAGGAAACATCTGTTCATTTCTTCTCCCCATTTTTTGATGGGGTTGAGGTTTTTTTTTTTCGTACAATTCTACGCATGTCTTGTATATCCTGGATATTAATCCCTTATCATATGGGTATTGGGTAAATATTTTTTCCCATTCTGTGGGCTCTTTCTGTATTTTGGTCACTGTTTCTTTTGAAGTGCAGAAGATTCTTAGTTCGAACATCTACAAACTCTTTAACAGTGACATCCCGGTAGTAACACGCCAGATTGGATGGGATGTAACACAGAAGCCATCCAATCTCTACTAACAAAAACATTAACATAGAAGGCTTTTTAGAACTTTTTTATTGAATCACTGTGAGATAGACCCTTACAAAGCTGTTCATGATTAGATTTCAGTCATACAGTATTCCAATACCCATCCCTCCACCAGTGTACATTTCCCAGCACCAGTGTCCCCAGGTTCCCTCTCATCACCTCCCACCCCCTGCGTGACTCTATGGCTGCTTCTCTCTCTCTTTCTCTCTCTCTTTATCCTTCCCTCCCTCCCTGGCTCTCTCTCTCTCTCTTTCTCTCTCTCTTTATCCTTCCCTCCCTCCCTGGCTCTCTCTCTCTCTCTCTCTCTCTCTCTGGGCATTGTGGTCTGCAATATTAACATAGAAGACTTAATTTCCCACAACAGCTTAGTAAAACCTCACACAAGTACTTAATGTCCTCATGGTGAGATACAACAATTTTCACAAATTTTCTTCTATGAAAATATTTTTTGATCACCCCCTTAGCCATTTAGTGGTAACAATCAATACAGCACACATTATTGTGGGCCTGCTCTGGGGGCAAGCTTGAGTGGTGGTTGGGCAAATGGAGATAATGGTGGAAAAAAGTTGACAGTGTTGGTGGGATTGGTGTTGGAATATCGAACGCCTGTAACAAATCATCATGGACAACTTTTAAACCACAGTGTTCATGTAAAGGTGTGCTTGTGTGGAGGGGGGAGACAAACAAGGAAAATTAAGAAGACTGAACCCAACAAGAGGAACCATGTCTATTAAATATTTGGGTTACTCATGTTGTAGGCAGGTAAACAGGAAAGTGTCCCCATGGCAATGGAATTTCTAGGAAGTAGCAAAACCAACCACCTTGCACTAGGCAGTCAGGACCCACGTTATGAGCATAGGAATTAAGGCCTGATTAGACTTTGACCTGGTGCCAAGAGACCCAGAGAAGGCTGGACACGTCCCACCCATACCACCCCCACTACCATTCCCTCCCCTCTCCCCCAGAGAGATGCTCCAGCAAGAACAAAGGCCAGAAAAGGAATTTCAAAGAGCACCATCAACTGCTCCCAACTTTACCCCAAGGCAACCACCCTACATGGTTTTTCCCCACCATCAGGCAACTTGGGGAAAAAAACCCACAATAACAACCTTGAACAAAGGATGTTTGTGATGTGCTGTTTAGCCCATGTACTGCTTTGTGTCCACGTGGCCAAGCACTTGTGGTGCCCTTGTCTCCCCTCTCGAGATGTGTACTGGGGCTGGGCTCTCTTGGCCTTTGGAGAAGCCCACATTCTCTCTTGAGTATTTTATTCTGTCTCTGTCTCTCTGTCTCTATCTCTCTCTCCCTCTCTCACTTTCTCTCCCTCTTTCCTCTTGCTAAAAGCCTGCAAATAAAATCTGTTTTACTTCACTGCTATCTACTCCTGAAATTCCTTTCTCTGAGATAGAACAAAGTACCTGGAAATCCTAGGTAAGGTCTAGGTCTGGCTTTCCTTTTCTGCAAAGAACAATTTCTGGCTCCAGCCTGAGTCCACAGCTCCCTGCGATATGGGGTGGTGGGGATTCACTCCCGTGAAAGAAGAACAAGCTGTCGGGTGTGGCATGACAGTCACTTGGTGGAGCTGATGGGGCTCTGGCCCATGCCATCCAGGGGCTCCTCTGCAGGCTTTATCAGTCCTCGATTTCCCATCCGGTCCTGGGGTGGCAGAGGTGAATTGGGAAAAAGTGACCGTCCCTCTCCTTTCACCTCACATAAGCCACCTGGCGGGGGGGGGGGGGGGGGGGGCACCAACTTCATTCGAAAGTCAGAAGTTTTCAGTGAAGAACCCCACAAGGAGGAGGTAATCCATGAAAATCTGCTGTGGAGATATGCTCCCTTGTAAATCTCTAGGGATGATGTGAGAGAAATGTAATAACCTCTCTGTGAATGTGTGTGAGTGCACATGAACCCTACAGGACCTCCTATCACGTGAATCTGTAGTACTGATCACTATGGGAGCAACAAGAGGAAACCCACTAGTGCAAAGATCCTGGGATATTAAAAGCAGGAAATCAACTCTCAAGCAGAAATCCTTTCCCTTTTCAGTCTCAGTCTAACAAGAGAACCAGCTAGAGGTCAATTGAAATGTTAATGTAGGAAATGCTAATGAAGACAGCAAGCTGGATTAACTCTAGATGATTTAAGGCAGGGAAAAAAAGAGAGAGAAAAGGCAGGAAAGAAAACCCAGCGAAAGATGCAGCAAAGCCAGCAAGGCAGAACTTTTTCTTCTCCTGATCAAAGTTGCACATGCTAGGTTAGACTCCACACACAAGCTGTGGTCCTGTTGGACACCAAGTAAGGTCTCAAGGACACCGAGATTAGATGCAGAGATCACTGATGGAGACGTCCACACATGTGATTTTCAGACAATTCAGCAGTCCGGGTTAGGCCGACATGCAGCTGTGATCAGGTCCACACCTGAATGCCTGAAATAGGCTCTAATGCCACACAACATTCTAGCTCTAAGGGGGGGTCTATGCCTCTTGGGAGAAATTAAAGAGACCTGGAGAAAAGATTTGCCAAGTAACCATCCTGTTTTAGACCGGTTATTTTATAGGTTGTTGCTGGCACTCAGAAAAATATGGGTAATTTAACTACTATACCCAAAGACTCCCCTTTGGGTTGCTTATTTAAACATTAAAAAAGTTTTCAAGGCTAGAGCAATAGCACAGTGGGTAGGGCATTTGCCTTCATGCAGCCAACCTGGGTTGATTCCCAGCATCCCATATGGTCCCCTGAGCACAGCTGTTAGGACCCACTTAGCCGGAGAACTGCCATCACAGGTTTGGGGCCTCTAAGTGTCTTAGGCATCTTCCAGGAACCAGAAAAGCAGAAAAACCAGATGCTTTTGTCAAAGATTACATCTCGGGAACGAGATTAGGTCTCCAGAATGTAACTGTCAGGAAGTGGACTGTATGTTGCCGGCCAAAACAACAACAGTGCTCACTTTGGCAGCATATATACTGAAATTGGAACGATACAGAGATTAGCATGGCCCCTGTGCAAGGATGACACGCAAATTCATGAAGCGTTCCATATTTTTCAGCTAAACTCTCACTCAAACTCGATGGAACTATACACCATTTTGTAGATAAACAACAGCTCAGGAACTTCATAGACTCAAAACAAATCTAAAAGAAGGATTAAAGGGGCTCCTGTAAGATAAGAAGGAAAACATTTAAAAATACAACCAAACTCTACAGAAAGATGGTACAAAACCTCAGGACAATAATCTCTCAGTGTCAATGGTCTAAAGGCACCAAGCAAGAGACACAGAGTAGCAAAATGGATCCAGAAACTGAAACCAACATTCTGCTGTCTACAAGAAACTCATCTGAACAATCAGAGCAAACACAGACTCAAAGTTAAAGGATGGAAAATAATCCTGCAAGCAAAACAACAACAAAAATATGTGTACTCTATAGGTAATAGAAATTTGCTGAGTAATGCTGACTTGCCAAAGGACAAGGACAGAGAACAGAGCCAATAATGCAAATCACATATGAAGGTTTATTGTTCCAGCTAGCCGGGGTCCAAGTATCCGCTCAGCATAGCAGGTTTCAACAAGGACCCCAGCACTAGGTTCAGCAAGTTCTTATACTTTCATTTTGGCAAGTAAGCATTACTCAGCAAATTTCTATTACCTACAGTGTACACATACATTCTGTTGTTGTTTTTGTTGTTGTTGTTTTGGCCCACAACATCTAGCCCTACCTCCTGACAGTTATATTACGGAGACCTGATCTTATTCTGGGGATGTAATCTTTGACAAAAGCATCTGGTTTTTCTGCTTTTCTTGTTCCTGGAAGAGGCCTAAGTTACTCAGAGCCTTTCATGGCAGTTCTCTGGCTAAGCGGGTCCTAACAATCTCTATCAAGAAGCCAGCCCAGCAGAGTGCACTTGAGTGGGTGCCTACTGCCAAACCTGCCAAAAGGGCACAAACGTTTCCCTTAAGGGAAGTGCCAATGGAGAGGCAGGCATGGTGCAGGTTCATGCACCCTTCTCCAGCAGCTAGGGAGATTTCAGGAAGATACTTCAAAGTTTCAATGCATTTTGGGGCTCCAGCTTATGCTTCTGAGTTCATCTAGGATAATATACACATAATTCTGTACAATTGTTGCACCCCAGAAGAAAAGGGACAGACTATAACAGCTGCACAGGCCTATGCTGATGAGCTCTGGACTGCTGACCCTGATTACCCTATGGGTTTAACTGAGGTTTCCTTAACAGACCCAGAATGGTCAAACAAGAGGAGGCAGGAAAATGCAAAATCACATAGTTAACTATTTAAATGAAATGAAGTGGATCACAAAGGCTGTTAATTACAACAAGCTGAAAATCCTCTAAACTGAGTGCTGTGCATGAGGAGAAATTAAAATTCTCAATCTAGATATCTTACTGTAAAAGGCTAAAGGATTCCTGATCCCTGAAATTCTCTCAGCTCCAGAACCTGTAGCATTTAGGAAGGGCGAGGAACTAGAGTCAAAAGCAGGAGGTAAGACTTGTGTGAGGCAGTACACAGATCATTTTAATGAGAAAGTAGGCTCTTTTTACAAATAACAGAGGTATAGAAACCATCAAAATTAAATCGAAGAAGGTTTTCTCATGTTTTCATAAATATTAATGATATAGGCAGGTAGATAGGGAAAGGCCCTGGACAATGAAACAGGTCAGCAAAAGTTCTGGGAGGAAAATTCCAAGGCTGATTCTCTTGGATATGTATGAGACCTTGAGCAGAGGACCCTGAGGAGATGGTACCACTTCCCATGAAGAAGATTTCTCGAATTCCCTCAGACCTCTCCCTCAATCTGCTTAACTTCAGTGATTCAGCCCAAAGAAGACCATCACCACTCCCAACCTCCCTGGTAACCTCCTTAGCAACGGACTTTTACCAGGGAAGAAGCCCCACGTGGGGGCAGGTTGGAGAAACCCTATAAAGGCCACCTTGAACAAAGGAAGGAGGAGCATATGCTGCCTGAGCCCATGCGTTGCTTGTGCCCACATGGGAGAGCACATGTGGTGCGCGAGCACACATGTCGCCTGCAACTCCTCTCTTGAGAACGTACTTTCATTCATGCTTTCGTGTCTAATGCTAAGATATGTGTAGAGGCTCTCTCTGCATTGGGGAAGCCCATGTTCTCTCTTGAGTGTGTTACTCTCTCTCTCTCTCTCTCTCTCTCTCTCTCTCTCTCTCTCACACACACACACACACACACAAAATACTCTCTTTCCCCCTTCACACCTTAAAAACCCTCCAAATAAAATCTACTTATTTCACTGCTTGTCTACTCCTGAAATTCCTTTCTGCGAGGTGAGACAGAAACCCAGTAAAACCTGGGTTCCAGGTGGCAGAGGTGGTTGGGGAGAAAGTGACCATTTTTCTCAATATGATGTAGGCAGGTAGATATGGAAAGGCCCTGGACAATGGAAGCAAAAGTTCTCGGAGGAAAATTCCAAGGCTGATCGACTTTGTGGATATGGATGAGACCTTGAGCAGCGGACCATGAGGAAATTGGGCCCCTCCTTTTGAAGGAGATTCCTTGAATTCCTTTGGACCTCTCCCTCAATCTGATTAACTTTAGTGATTCAGCCCAAGAAGACCATCACCACTCCCAACCTCCCTGGTAACCTCCTTAGCAACGGACTTTTACCAGGGAAGAAGCCCCACGTGGGGGCAGGTTGGAGATACCCTATAAAGGCCACCTTGAACAAAGGAAGGGGGAGCATATGCTGCCAGAGCCCATGTGCTGCTTGTGCCTACATGGCCGAGCACATGTGTTGCCCGCATCTCCCCTCTTGAGATGTGGACTTTCATGTCTAATGCTAGGATGTGTGTAGGGGCTCTCTCCACCCTTGGAGAAGCCTGCATTCTCTCTTGAGTACCTCTCTCTCTCTCTCTCTCTCTCTCTCTCTCTCTCTCTCTCTCTCTCTCTCTCTCTTCCCCTCCACACCTTAAAAATTCTCCAAATAAAATCTATTTATTTCACTGCTTGTCTACTCCTGAAATTCCTTTCTGTGAGGCGAGACAAGAAGCCAGTAACCCTGGGTCCCCAGTGGCAGAGGTTGGGGAGAATGTGACCGTCCTTCTCCTCCCTGCTTCACATAAGTCACCCGTGAGGCCCACTGACATCAATTAACATTTCAAGTGTTTTCCTATGTTGGTATCTAAAAGTTTGGTAAGAATGAAGAGCCTTTTTCTGTATCTGAAAGCATATGTTTGGATCTTATTCCATGTGGAGTTGTTAAAATGTCTGTCCTAGAAAGCTCATGATTCAAAATAACTTAAGTTAAAAACAAAAACAAAAACAAAAAAAATCTGGTAATTTAGTTTAAGACAGAGATTCCTGAAAGTTATAAAATTAGAGAAATCCAAGCTCCATTATCTCACCCCTTCCCTTTAGGAAGGATCCAGGGAAGTTATTGTCTGTAAATTAATGAATGGTAGCAGGAGGGAAAGACATAAAAAGGCGGGGCTTGGAGGGGTGGACCATTTTAAAACCTAGTCACTGTAATGAAGAGCTGCTTCAACTTTAGTGGTTTCTGAGAATGGAGAATTGCAAGGAAAAAAGTGGGAAAATAGCTAGTCAAATTTTTCAAAACTGCACAGTCCATGAAAATGCACGCTGTTATTAATATACCTTTACTTCTTATCACCGTTTTCACCATCTATCAACCTAGTCTTGACCTTAAAAGTACTTTATCCACAAGTGTGAAATCCTTACTGTTTCTTGGTAATCTTTGTGAAGTGTTTGAATCCTTTTATATCTGTGTTTTCCTAGAAATGGGAATTCTAAAGATGAAACGTTTAATATGTTTTCTGGTTAATTCCTAATATGAAGTGAACTTTTGCCAAGAGTAATATATATTATGAGATCTTTAATTGAGAGCATCTGAAAGCTTTTAAAATATCTATAGAACTGACAATGCTTTTAAAAGAGTACTGCAGAGTACAGTTTTGTCATGCTAAATGAGATAAAGACTAGCAACTTCTCTCCAAATTTCTTGGGAGATGAAGCCATATTAAGTTCAGTAAAACTGAAAGTTAAAACTAAGAAGAAGAAGATAATATCTTGTTTACAAGAAGATAAGATTGTTACAAGGGAGATAATATCTGCAGAGGTAAAGGTAAAGGTAAAGGCCCTCCCGTTGATCCTCGATTTGCTCGAGCGGGCCCAGTAACGTCTCCATTGGAGACTTTTGTTGTTACTGTGTCTGGCATATCGAATATCTGCAGAATTTTTTAAAAATTTATTTATTTTTTTATTAGTGAAACACCATGAGGTACAGTTATAGACTTATAAATTTTTGTGCTTGGGTTTCAGTTATACAATAATCAAGTACCCATCCCTCCATTAGTGCCCATCCTCCACCACCACGAGTCCCAGCATCCCTCCCAGCCCCCATTACCACCATCCCACTCTGCCTCTGTGGCAGGGCATTCCCTTTTGTTCTCTCTCTCTTCTTTTTGGTACTGTGTTTTGCAAGAGAGGCATTGAGTGGCAATCATGTTTGGTCTATAGTCTACTTTCAGAATGCTTCTCCCACCCTGGGAGGATCCTCACAACACCCTTTATTTGGTGCTCTCTTCTCTATCTTAGCTTCCTTTTCCCCTAGCACGTGTGGCTGGTCTCCAAATCATGGAGCAAAATTCCTGGCACTAATCTCAGCCATTCCTGGGTGTTAGTCTCCCTTTTTTTTGCTTTATATTCCCCAGATGAATGCAGTCTTTCTGTGTCTATCCCGCTCTTTCCAACTCATTTCACTTAACATGATACTTTCCATGTAGTACCACTTGTATGTAAATTCCATGACTTCATCTTTTCTAACAGCTACATAGTACTCCATTGTGTAAATGTACCAAAGTTTCTTTAATCAGTCATCTGTTCTCGGGCACTCAGTTTTTTTCCAAATTCTGGCTATTGTAAAGAGTGCTGCATTGCACAAACAATTGCAGATGTCACTTCGAATATACTTTTTTGCCTCTCTGGGATATATTCCCAGGAGTGCTATTGCTGGGTCAAATGGGAGATCAAATTCTAATTT